AGGCCTCTATTTTTGCACCTATTAATTATTTCTGCCTGCATTTAAGCATCTAGGCATCCCATTTAGGAAGGTCTTTCAAATAATGCTTTGTAAGTATTTACAGTTTGAATTCATTTAAACATCACCCGACTGCATTTTTTATCAGCAAAGGTTTCCTCACACTCTCTTGCCCCTATATTTAATATCATCCTCCATTAACATGCAAAATCCTTACTGGTGAATTGTTAGATACATACAGCCCCCAAAAGTGTGTCAGCTGATTTCTTTTTTTAAAACCCTGTTCACTTAGATAATTTGAAAAAGGTTAAAAAAAGAAGAAAAAGTAGGTTTCGGGAAGTAAGCTTGGTAATCATTCCCATCCTGCATGCACCGACTGCCCGCAGGGCTCTTGTGCACTGGGAAATCGTGATGGCAGCAAGCCCTTGGGGGCTCACGAGCAAGCACCCTGCTAGCTGCCTCACCGAACTCCCTCGTGCCTGGGACTGCCCAGCAAGAGAAGATATTTCTTAATTAGAGCACAAGTTTTTAAAGCTGGCTTTACCCATTAATTTAGCTTATTTATACCAGCTAAGCGTCTGGCCTCCATCACGCCTGTCTGCTCTGGAGAGCTGATTCAAGCAACAACAGAGCAGGAGCACAGGAGCAGCGGCCATGCCTCAGTCGGTTGGCAAGCCACCACAGCCTTCCTTAATAACCAGGCTTTACAGCATGGACTAGAGAACACACAATCAATCCTGCCCTTCAAACACTGCAGCAGTAATTGTTACTGGGCATAATACCCACCTAATTTCTTCAAAGGCACTTAGACCATATGAGCAGACTTTTTTTGCATAATACTCTGCTCTTAAAAGACTGTCCTTCAAGTGGGGAGTAGCATAACCAAATGCCAGAGAAGTAAAAAAAGAAAAAGGGGGGGGAAGCAGGATAAAGCAATCAAATGTGTTCTTTTAACACAAAAAGGGTGGGCAGGACAGTAGCAGAGACCATCAGAAACCCTCTCACTGCCTTCACGTATCACATTGCGGTCTCCTGCCCCATTCTTTACAAAGCTGCCAAAAATATATTCACAGCTGCCAGCCTCTCTAGCAGTATAAATCCTCCTCATTATCGAGCTGCCACGTTTTCAGGATTTAACGAGAACAAGACCTCATTTTTCATGAACGTCGGGCACGTGCATCAATTCAGTTTGAGCCAAATGAGCCCACTTACAGCGGGTCTCTCAGGAAGGCGGCGCTCATTTTAGAGCCCTGTGCCAGCCATCGGTCAGACCAGCGAGGTAGTAGAAATAATCTCAGCTGCTTCCGCTCTACGGCATAGCGTGGCAAGACAGGGGTGTAACGTATCGAAGATGACAGCCTGAAGGGCAAAAGGCTTTTAAGGACGGTTTGAGTTACAGTGTGATGTATCGGAGAACATCCACCACAACTTCGGAGAGTTCTAATAATCTGTGGCACACAAGCGATGGAGTCAAGGACCAGCTGGAGGAATTCGGCAACCAGCACTGAGGTCATCCGACTTCATTACAAGGCAGGGACTAGGTAGCGAGTGAGTTAGGAACAAATATTCTACGTACACAGAAGAGGAAGAAAAGGGCAGTTTGTCTGGCTAGTTTTAACTTTTTGATGGTTCATTTTGAAAATGGGACTTAAAAATGGGCAGGAGAAAACACCAGTCCAGGAGAGTTGGGGTTAGAAAGTTTGATCTCTATGGCATACTCCAACTAACACAAAAGCCTGAAAATTCTCCCAGTAACTTTCGTTTACTAGAGAGCAGGTAAAGGTTAGTAGACCAGAGAAAAGTTGAGTATTTCATCAACACCAGAGTGCAAACTTCCTGCAAGGAAACTTGAATTCCCTTGCTCTGTGCCTTACCTGCCCTTCTACAGAGTAAAACCCCAACTTTAGTGTCCAGCACCACACTGCACGGATGGCGCGAGCCCCATCGGAGGTCAGGTACATGAGCCCCAAGTCGTTTGGATGCGAGGTAGGGCAACCAAAATTACAGCAGTTAACAAAACAGCAATCAGGAACCTTCATTGAACACCACAACCCAAGCATTTTAACTCCTCCACAAAATAGCCTCTGCAGAATACAAGAGACATTGCAAATAAAAGGCAACATCTGCTAATTAGGGAAAATGGCACTAAGTCTTTTATTAGCCATTCTATTCCAGAGAGTCAAAGGAATCAATACAAAATTGCAGTCTCTGCAATTGGTGGCTTATTCGCCTTTCATCTTGGGCTGAATTTCTCATTCCCACACACCAGTAGGCTTTGTTCTGACTACGCAGCTCCTCTTTAGTCACAGCAAGTGTTTTAGAAGTTAGGACATTGCCAGCTGTTGGGACTGCGCTGTCGCATTAGCTCATCCAGGCAGCTCACACTTTGCCCCATCTGCCCAGGGCACCTTCCTGGCATTGATCGGATTGGCGAAACCAGTTACCATCCCACTGCCCTTTTTACAGCCCGAGTGCTCCCACCATCCATCTCAACTTCCAACTGCAGCACTCGAAAGCTGCACAGCTCAGTACTGCTTGAACGCTTGTCTTGTTCCACTTCTCAGCTCCAAGCACCTAACAGTTTTCACCTGAAGTTGCTCTACTAGAAAATTCCGGGACAAATAAAAAAGACCAGAGTTAATTTGCAAATATGCAAATTATTACTTTTCAGACTTAGACAAGAAGTTTTTAACATCAGCGATGCTAAAACCCAAACTGTGAAGTTTGCTTTTGAGTTACAGATAACCACTTCATTGAGATGGGAAACTTGGGGCAACTTTATCTCGAGCCAAGTACTTAAACACACAGGAATCGGGACAGGGCAATCTCACGTCCCACCTGAAAATGGAAACATGCAGCCACTTCTCCAAGTAGCAGAAACATCACATCTCAACTTGCATCAGCAAAACAATCTGAATTACTCTAATGTGTATGGAAGGAAATCATTGCTTACCCAAGCTCAAAAAAGCTTTAGCATTTAAGTGCAAATTAGACTTTTGTACTTGTTACCATTTCAACTGGCAGAAGCCACTTCTCTTCCACACAAACACTGGCTCCTTGTTTATGCAATTGCTAATCTGACAGTTGCCTTCAGATGCAGCTGCTTCACTACTGAAGTTTTCCAGATGCAGAAACTTCATGTAATTAGGCCACTTAATTCAAGGTTACAATGATGCAATTAAATTTCTTCCTCAAACTTGCCCTTAGAGACAGGTTACCCTCTCTGTCCAGTTCCCCAACCACAACAGCATTGGTTTATTTTGCACTTTTAATTGGGGCTATACACCAGATAACTATATTTATATTGGATGCCTTGGCCACAGTCTAATATTCTTATGCTTCCCCACAAAAGTACTACAGAGAGTGGTTTGTTTTTTTTCCACATTCCAGTATTTTATTCTAGCTTAATTGACTCATTTCCTTGTTTAATTGACCTATATAAAAATCAGTAACAACACTGCTCAAAGCTCTTCATCTCCACCACTCCAGTCAATGGCTGTCCTTGGTCTTCTCTGACGCATTTCATTGCTGAAATAAAATTAAGACAGTGAATTTAAAGGCAGAGAAAGTCTATGTAAATTTTCACCTATAAACTACTGAAGTCACAACTTTACCACTTACAGAATAGTACTGGAAAACAGTAACAGGGCCAAACCTTTCGACTCAGGAAAAGCTACAGGGGTGAGGGGCAGACTGAACAGAGATGTTACCTGGTTGGCAAACTTGTGTCTTGCTCCCGCTTCCTTGGAACGAATGCTCTCCTTCCTCAGAATCCCCACTCAGCTTCCCTGTCGAGCGTCCCATCTTCTCTTCAGCCTGCCAAAGCAAAGATGCATTAATAAAAATATCAAACAGAGCCTTTACATTGCCACCCACCTCCCCCAACACAAGTCACATCGTATACGAGGGTTTCACAAGCCATTCGCTGAACCCATCACATCACAGAAGCACAGTCTGGGAAAACTGTTCCAGGGCTGGCTGATGCCTTTGATATGCCAGCCAATGTATCATTTGATCCCTAAGCAGAGAGTTAACCACTTTGACATGGCTGCTTAGGAAGTGTGGGCTATGGGAAAAAGTTAATGGCAACAAGTAGGATGGCAAAGAAAGCTACAATTAAAGTGAGCAACTTAATGAAGTCTAGGAAGATTCTCAATAGATGAACACATATCAAGTCAGGGAATTCGTTTCCCATCTTGCTTCCATACCTACTAGCAAGACATGACTGCATGCCCAACTCTGATCTGTGGAACTGAAGTTGTGCCACAAGCCAAAGGTTGCATACGGCATGGGTTAAAATTTTTCCATCAGTTGACCAAAATTGTCAAAGGAATATTTCACAGGTACATTAGACTTTCAAATGAGCTCTCAACAAGAGGAAGGATGCGGACATGAGCAAAAGGAGTTACCTCGAATTACAGGACTATTTCCACATATGAACTAGCCAAGAGAGCAGCTTTCGTCTCAGAGGTTTCTGTTGGAGGCACAACACTTCTTTTTCTCCAAGGACACTGCAGTTTCCATATGCTAGCAAAGAATTCTTAGAACTTGTAAGGCAATGACAAAGCTAGCTAATTACGGCAATTTACCTACCATTGAACACTCTTGTCAAGCTAGTAACTAGTCCAGTTACTAAAGGACTGATTCTTCGCTACAGGTTTTCAATGTAGGCTACTTCAATATTTCAAGGAAACATCAATTATCCTGCCTAACACTAGCGTTCCCTCGACTTCTGACTTAGGCTTTGAGTACTAGAACATCCTAAGGTATACACTTTCAGTCCTCTGCCTCTAGACAAGTTTGACTATTCTTATGTGAAAGTATGTTGACGAATTCACATGTCAAGACCGATTGAGATTAAATTCTAGCAACTGGTCAATAAATCTGGCTTGCTCTTACACTATCACTAGTCTTCTCTCCTCTGGCATCCTCTGTTACTTATAGACTGTTCTTCATCTTCAAGGATTGTGTTGTGCAATGAAATGTAAATGTCAGGAGCAGAGTTCATTTCAGACGGTCTTTTAATAGGCTTCGTAAAGCCAAAGAAAACTGTATACAAGAATCCTTTACCACTTCAAATACAATATCAATGGAATATGCATATTTCTTCCAGTAAAAAAGGACAATATAAATAAACATTTTCAAGAACCTCTTTTATGGTAAGTTTGCAAGTCTATTTCTGGGTAATTTACATCATTACAACAGTAAAAATACCGTTATGCAGGTTGAACATACAAGCAAGTTTCTCTTTAGATATATCAAGGTGGTTTGCCTTCCAATTTGTACCCAGGCTGCATTCCTACCTTGCTACACTAAAGGAATGTTACAAAAGACGAAGGTAATGCACTTAAAAAAAAAAGTCCACAGCTTGTTCAGCTTCCAGTGAACATTGAATTAAAGGTCCTTTCTATCTCAAAAGAAACTGAATTGGGGCCCCAACTTCACAACTTTAAAAAAAAACACCTTGGCTCATCATGAAGGATAAAATAAAATCTGAAGTGCTTTCAAAAAAGATTAAAAACACTTGAAAGCAAAGCTTTCTTAAAGAAAAGTCTAATTAGACCATCTTATATCAGAAGCTGTCAGGCTGTGTTTGACAAGATTAGAACTGATAATACTACAAAAGTGAAAATACAAGTAGATGTACTACACAATAACGATTTCAGCGAAGCTCCAAAAATCTTTATAAATACAGCCATTGGAAGGACGATCTTGAGTCAGGAAGGATTTTTACTCGTTGTGTGTAGCTGAGGACAAGAAGCAGGCACAATTGTAAAGGCACTGAAGCATAGACAAGTTCCAGCATTTTACTCCCTTGCATTATTTCAGAAGCTAGTGCTAGTTCGCTACACCGTAAGAGAACTCCCCCACCCTTGATTAAAGTTTGTTAGGGCATCCGAGTTTTGTCTTAGTCTCAAGCTCGAGGAACGTATTTTAAAAACTTGCTTTGCCTTAGATCCAAGCAACTCCTACACATGCATTACAAATTAGAAATTTAAACGGCACAACCACGTCCAAAGCCTGGCAGATTGGTTCTTACGGGCAAGAACAGAAATAGTGGTACAGTCCAACTGAGCCTTACAAGTATTTCCAGACTCAAGTACAGGGTCAGAAGGTTTAGAGAGTTCCTACAGCATACGTACTCATCGTTCCCATTTGAACCAAGACTTACCGTAACTGTCATAGCTGTCTCTGTAGGATCCTCCTGAAGACCTGTCACCATAGCCACCTTGACTCCTGCTGTTAAAAAGCATTCATGTGCTTTATATTTGCTCAGCTGTTTCTGGAGCCTATCGACGTTTATGTCGATCAGGCAATGGGCTTCAAGAGCTTCGCAACAACCCACTAGCGGTCGCAATGACTTTACCTGCTATTATAGTAGTCTCTGGAGCCATTATATCCTCCGCTTCTGGAATCAAATCTGCTTCCGCCATAGCCTCTCTCTCCACCTCCTTGAACAGACACCGGATCATGGGGGTTTTTTAAGCGTTCTGACAAATGCCATTGCCACTTCAGGAACCGCGAGTCATTCATGCACACTCACCTCTAGAGAAGCCACGGCCCCGGCCTCTGCTGCCACGGAAAAAGCCTCTGCCCCCAGAAGACCCCCCTCTGTATCCACGAGATCTGTTCTCTGATGATTTTCCAGCCTGATCAACTCTGATCTGACGTCCGTCTACAGACTAACAAACAGAGAAAAATAAATCAGCTTGATATTTAAACATTTAAATAGCAAAGCACATATACAATGAGTTATACACCTTCACTGTCAGCTAAGCAATATCAGAATTTACTAGTTCTTACAAAGGTTTTATTAATATCACAACTAAGCCAACTACACAAGTAAATTGATGCCAAAACAGTATATAGAGGCATACCTATAAGTGTCACTATTTCTCAGTCATATAGATTAGGTCATGAAATTTTAGCAATTTCTATTTTTTATCATTTCTATCATTTAACTGTTTTAAGACACTAGTATTTATCTGTTTTTCTACATGGCATTCAACAGAAACGCATCTTTCAAATTCTCTTACTACATTTCACAGAAATCAAGAATGCTGTTCCAAAGCCTCCTTACCTTTCCATTCATGGCCATCATTGCGTCTTTAGCATCATCTATGTTTTCAAAAGTAACAAAGCCAAAACCTCTGGATCTCTGAGTCTCTCTGTCTTTCACCACAACAACTGTAAAGAAGGGGGGGAAAAGCATCAGCACCTGTGCAATTGAGCAAATCTACGAAAGTCATCACAGCTTAGTACTGCCATCTTACCTTCAGAAATTTGTCCATATTTAGAAAAGACTTGTTCCAATGACTGCTCATTGGTATCAAAACTCAGTCCACCGACAAAGAGTTTTCCCTCATCTGATGCCATTCTGACCTGCAAAGCCAATATATCCGAAGTCAGTAACTCAAAAAAGAAGTTATTCCCACAGCGTCTGAAAGATTAAATCGGTTTTAACGCCGCCAATAAAGCATCCTTACACGAGGCTCAAACCCCAGTGAACTAGTGCTTTCTATCAGAGGAGTACTCTGTAGGCTGACCCGGACCATGCTGCTCCTTCCCCGGGGAAGCGGAGCTGCAGCCGCCGATCAAGGCCTGCACGGCAGGACGCCTGCACAGGGGCCCCCGCCGCAC